ATTAATTTATTCAACAAACATATGTAAGGGGTACTTTATTCAAAGCACAATGCTAGGTGGATGCTGGGGATACAAAAATGAACAAGACCCAATCAAGTGGAGGGCGTGAACGGTAGCTTCAGAGCAATGTGAGAAGAGCTGAAAAGAATGATGAGCTTCTGGGGAAAAGAGCTATGAGACTGTGGGGAAGGAGAGAGTGATTTTAGCTGGAGCTCAAAGACGAGGAAATTATCTTAGGATAGAGAAGAGGAAGACATAAGGCTCCAGACAGAGTGGAAACATGTACACAAGGACAGAGATGTGCTTTGAAGTCATGAGAGTTCAGCTGGGCTGGAGGGCATGGCTCTGAGGGAAGCTGGAGAAGCTGAGGTGGGAGCTGGGGAACCACTGCTTTTCCTTTTTTCCCCCTCCCCAGGCAGGACTGTCACCCAGGACTGGAACCATGTTTTAGAAAGATGGCTTCTCCCCTGTGGAAAGATTTGGTGAAAGAAGCCCGTTAGGACGGAGGGCCCTATTTGCCTGCATTCACTATTATCCCACACAGCTCCAAAATCAAATTTAAATTCCAAAAAGAAAGGAGCTATTTCTCAATATCCGCCCCCCCTTTTTTTTTGGTCCTAAATCAGCAAATGCTTGAATCTTATTTCTCTTTGCACACTCCTGTTTCCCCTCCAGATCTCAGTTATTTCTGCCTACTTCTTCCACTAGACTGATTTTGTTCTAGTGAAGAAGAATCAACGTATACAAAAGTGCCTTAAAATTTTACATGTATGTTCATATATATGATCTCAGTGTTTCATTCATCTTCTTATCCTAACACCTTACACCAGTTTTGGCCCAGCACAGAAACCACGATAAATGTTTGCAAAATGAGAGGAAGCATGGTGTAGCGTAAAGAGTATGGAAATTATCATCAGACAAAGCCAGTGATGTTGGGCAAGTTATTAAAGTTCCCTGAGTCCTCTGTTAAGTAAACATTTAAATAAACATTTATTTGTTAAATGGTGATATTGCCTTCTGTTCAGGTCCTGAGAATTAAAAAGTCTCAAACACCTGATACTCAGGTGTAAATAAATAGTGGTTCCTCTTTGAATGAATGAATGAAGATGTCTTTCCTGGAGGGATTTGAGAGAACAGAAATTAGAAACTTCAAGGAAAAAGATGGGACCTTTGAGAGGGCTCTCAACTACACGTTGAAGGATTTAAATTTTAATACAAAGAGATTATAGAGGCATGGAGTGATTGAAGTAGGTTTCAAAGCTGACTATTCTGGAAGCAGGATGTAGAACAAGGCCTCTCATCGGAAAGGCATGCCCTGAACCCAGCCTGGGTGGGAGATGATAGACTTAAGCCAGGGTGATGGTCTGCAAACGGGAAGGAGGGCCTCCATATGAGGCAATGAGTCTCACCATACGGTCTTAACAACCCAAACCACCTGCCACCCGAGGTCCTAAATTGTGGAACCATACTCATAATGTTGCTCCAAAAGCAGTTTAGGATTTGCTCAAATACAAAAATTAACATCCAAATGAAGATGCCTGGAAGTTATGACGTGTAACAAAATCTAGACTTGTAAGCCTTTCCTATTGTCCAGGCAATCAATGTAGGCTGAGTGTATTAAAAAAAAAAAAAATGATTCAAAGTGATACTTCCTGATTTCAAATACCTTATAACAAAAGAAACGCAACTTTAACATATCAGAAAGCATGAGTTTTAAAACTAGCACTAAAAAAAATCTCAAACCATTAAACCTCTGAATACTTCTCTAAGTCTAAAATGTTCAAATTCGAACTTCTCAGAGATCACTACAGCCAGTAATACATAGTATCTAGAAGACCTAGCCAGGTTCTCAGTCTCAATATCCTTCCTTCCTTTCTTTGCCCATAACTAGGGTTGCTAGATTCTCGCAGGCAGGCTCAGTCTTGCCTCTAATCTTGAAACCCAATCTTGACCTTAGATAGAGGGCATTAACTCTTTGCATTTACTTCTTGTTCTGATGTCCTGAGCCAGATCTGATACCAGTTTCAATATGAATATTGACAAAAAGCCAATTAATCCTGTTTTGAAGAGGGTTCAGAATTTACTAGAGTACTAACTAGAGGAAAGGACAGCCAGCTCAGTCAACAACACAATCTAAGAGCAGCGCTGCAACTGTAGTCAAACCCACTTCTCCAGAACAATGCAACCAGTCAGGGTAGTAGCTTCCCCTTCTTCACTATTGTTCAAGGCAAGACAAGGGCAAATTGTAGTTCAATATATATAATTATATATATATATATATATAATTTTTTAAAGTCATTTCAAACAAGAATATCCGTCCCACAGTTATCAGAAATTATGCAGGTAGAAGCTGTATGACAGCCAGGGCTCAGAAAATCACAGGGTTGATAGGGAGCAAAAGGTTTTCAGCCTGCTCGTCCTCGCAAAGCACAATCTTTGTTCCCGTGTCCATGACAGCTAAGCACCCAGCCCAGCCCCAACACCACCAGGAAGAGGGAAATGTTTCTTGCGGAGACAGCCTTTTATCAGCAACTCCAGATCTATACCAAGTCTTCAGACACCTGCCTCCTTGCAACTTTCCCCCAGTGGTCCTGTTTCTGCCCTCTGGAGGCAGACAAAATAATAACAGTGGCCTTCTACATGACTTCCCTGCCAATGAACCGACGACCATCCTGGTCACATGCTCCCTGAAGACTCTCTTTTCCCTGATAAACATCTCGGATAAGCTGAATCCTCATCTCATCACATGGCTTCCAGATCTCTCTCCGTCCTCATCTTCTGCCACGTCTGGGGGCCTACTTGTTCAACATCTCTGAAAGGTGGGTATCCGTATGCTATTCATGCTTCAGGCAGCATCGGAACACAAGCCCAGAGTGGTACCCTTTACAGCTTCACTTTGGACAAAACGCCGTGTCATTACAAGGTCATATGGTACTGATTTCCTTAGCTGTCTCCTCATCCTACTAAATTATGTTTCCTCTTCCATGAAAAGTGGTCAAGCTGGGTGTATTAGGAATGCAATTGATTTCATCTTACTTGATTTTAATTAATGTTAATTGGTTGACTATTTAATTCCATTAAATTTTATTTGTAGGTATTTTTTCTCACATTCCAGCCTACCAGGAACTTCCTGGACATTGAGTCTGTCACCAAACGACCTATGCTAGCTTCGTGACATTGATAAGTGTGACGAGCATGCTTTCCATGTTGCCATCCAAGTCACTAATAAAAACGGAAAACAAAACAAGGCCAAGGACTACCACTAGTAATTTTTCCGCAAATGGAGGCAAATTTGAAGCAATGTTTTTAAAAAAGCTATGGATCTGTCCATCCCCCTGACTTACCTGAACTACAGCACCACAGAGGAGCAGGTTGGTCTGATTTTCTTCATAGTCATTGTTACCACTCTTGCCCACTCTCACACCTGATTTACTCCTATGGTCACTTTCTCTTCCTAAGAGATCGAGAGCTTTGTATGATACCTGAGTCTCTTCGTAACGACTATGCTAAATACTGTCTTCCCCAAACAAATTCAAAATTTGCCCTGAATAGAAACGCCTGTAGAGACAGATATAGATACAGATCAATATAATATGTCTTTCACAGAGAAAGGAAGTAAAAAAAAAAAAAGTGTCTTTAGCTTAGCTACACGCTTAAGATACAAACCGTTTTGATCAAGGAAAGATTCTGAAATTTGACCAGAAAGCAATGAGTTGAAAACAGACTAAACTTACTACAAAGGCAACTGTGCCCATTCTGTTTTTGAAGGGCAGGATATTATATTTGAAATCATTTCTAGTCTTTTATGTAGTTACTGCAGTATTTCTTTTAGTTCTTGGAAACATACCCTGTGGTATATTATGTGTAATCTCTGTGTCTCAGACCTCACTGGCGAGGGGTTACATTTTGATCACATCAACATTAATAAACACCCTTTCTCTGATTCTGGCAGACACCATTATTGTAAGTTTTCTCAGTCCCCTTATGCTCTTCCAGTTCTTTTTTTTTTTTTTTTTTAAGATTTTATTTATTTATTTGACAGAGAGGGAACACAAGCAGGGGGAGTGGGAGAGGGAGAAGCAGGCTTCCCGCGGAGCAGGGAGCCCAATGCGGGGCTCAGTCCCAGGACCCTAGGATCATGACCCGAGCCGAAGGCAGATGCTTAATGACTGAGCTACCCAGGCGCCCCACTTCCAGTTCTTTCTAGAAGTTTCCTGTGAATTTATGAGCAGGTTCTTCAGCTGGCTTCAGTAACTTGTTCACCCAACCAGGGCAGCTCATATTGTACCTGCCTCTGTGCTGAGCCTCCTGCTGTTGGTAGAATTTGGACAGTCCACCCCAGTTACCCCATAAGGCCAGCACCACAGACTCACTTCCTCTCCCTGGACAAACTCTGTTTTACTGGTCACCAAACCTCTGTTCCTTGGCTCCCAATACCTTATGGTCTATAAATCACAATCTCTTGTTTCCATGAATTGGGCTTTTTTAGATTCCGCATACAAATGATATCACACAGTATTTGTCTTTCTCTGTCTGACTTATTTCACTTAACATAATGCCCTCAAGGTTCATCCATGTTGTCTCAAACAGCAAGATTTCCTTATTTCTGATGGTTGAATAATATTCCATTATCTTGATAAAGAAATAGGCTTCCTTTATTTGACAATGAGAATAAGGTAATTTATTGAGTTTCCTTTTTTCCTTCGTTGCTAAGAAAGTCAAGATAAATTTTGTTCTCAATTACAGCAATTATCCTTAGCCTGGAATTTCTGGTAAGACCATTCTTCCTCCCGTTTTATTACATACTTCATATTCATTTAATCCTTATTTTAATGAACCTATCTTATGTCTGTTTTATTATATGCTGTTCTATCCTTATGGGAGGTAGGTATATTATTTAGAACTCTTTAGCTTCAAGTGACAGGAAACCAATTCAAACTACATTGAAAGAAAGAAAATATTAGGTTTAGAATGAAACAGGTTTAAAATTCCTTAACCAGGCACTCACTTTAGCAGCACAGATACTAAAATTGGAACGATAGAGATTAGCATGGCCCCTGCACAAGGATGACAGACAAATCTGTGAAGCATTCCATAATAAATAAATAAATAAATACATACATACATACATAACAATTTTAAAAGCTCCTGAACCAAAATACTACTAATACAAATGAAACTAACTGTAATCGTTTTTTAATTCCATAGCTTATAATGATGGATCAACAAATACATTGTTTATGCTTATTAGGATACATTAACATACTTTCACTTACTTTTCATAGATTAACAACATTTTATGTCCAGCTTTATGATAATTATTCCAAAGAAGATTGAATAAGTTTAAACAACCTCTCCTTAAAGAATCTGTAACCTAAGTGACAGCAAAAGATTGAGAGAGAAAAAAAGAGATTTATTTTAAGAAATTGGCTCCTGTGAGTATGAGGGCCGCAGGTAAGAGACCCAGGAAAGAGTTGATGTTGCAGCTTGACTCTGAAAGCAATGTGAAGGCAGACTCTTCCTTTGGATATGTCAGCCATTTTTCCTTTAAGGCCTTCAACTGATTGGATATGGCCCATCCATATTATAAAGAATAATCTGTTTTGCTCAAAGTCTATTGATTTAAATGTTAAATCATCTGAAAAATACCTTCACAATGACATCTTGACTGGTGTTTGACGAAATGTCTGGGTACTGAGGCATAGCTAAGTTGGAAAATGTTCATAGAAGCATTCTTCATAGGGGCGCCTGGGTGGCTCAGTTGGTTAAGCGACTGCCTTCGGCTCAGGTCATGATCCTGGAGTCCCGGGATCGAGTCCCGCATCGGGCTCCCTGCTCGGCAGGGAGTCTGCTTCGTCCTCTGACCCTATCCCCTCTCATGTGTTCTCTCTCTCTCAAATAAATAAATAAAATCTTTAAAAAAAAAAAAAGAAGCATTCTTCATAATAACAAAAATGTGGAAAGAATTCAGATGTCAGTCAACTGATGAAGTGATAAATAAAATGTGGTATATCCAAACAATGGGATATTATTTGGCAATAAAAAAGAAACAATGTACTGATATACATGGCTATTATATCAATAAGCCTTAAAAGTATTATGCTAAGTGAAAGAAGCCAGTTACATAAGCCATATGTTGTATGATTCCATTTATATAAAATGTCGAGAATAGGCAAATATAGAGACAGAAAGTAGATTAGTGGTTGTCTAAGGCTGGCAGGGTTCAGAGAGCTAAAGGGGTGAGTTTCTTTTGGGGGTAATGAGAATGCTCTAAAATTAATTATGCACAACTATGCACAACTCTGTGAATAGATTAAAAACCACTGACTTGTACACTTTAAACCTTTGAAGAAGATACTATCTGAATTAAGCTTTATCAGAGTAAGACACTTTTCAATCATGACACAGAAGAACTTTTTTTCCAAACTCAAATATGCATTAGACTTCACTGCTGTTATTGTATTTTATCCAGTATTTCTCACTGTTTGTGGTGGATTTTCCATATTAGCTTTGTCCACTGCTTCCCCAGAAGTGAAAATCTCTACAACAAATAAATACTTTTATTATTCCCATTTCATAGATGAGAAATCAGAGGCATGGGAAATTTAAGGAGTTTTCCTTACATCATACACCTTGACAGTGGCATTTCTAGGATTTAAATCTAATAAAATCTTTAAATCCAGCCATGAGTTCTAATGACAATATTTGGTATTATCCTATTATAATATTGATAAATAACTATGCCCATTTTCTAATGATATGATTTAGTACTAAAATACCAAAGTCTGTGATAAAGGGAATGAGAGATAATATTAACTTTGCTCTTTAGCTGGTTTCCTCCTGGCAGCAAAATGTGTGCCGTAGTTCTAGACCTCATACTTCATATCACATCCTCCAGAAGACAGAGTCTTTTCCAGTAGGCCTGGAGAGAAAGCAAGGAAGTGCTTCTTTCCCAGAATCCCTAATAAATGAAATCTAGCACCTCACTGGCTCGAATTAGGTTGTGTGTCAGTCCTTAAACTAATCATGGTGATTTGGGCAAAGGGATATAGTGATTGCTTTTATTTTTTTTTTTAAGATTTTTTTATTTATTCATTCGAGACACAGAGATACAGAGAGAGAGAGAGCATGAGCAGGGGGAGAAGCAGAGGGAGGGGGAGAAGCAGGCTCCCCACTGAGCAGGGAGCCCGATGTGGGGCTTGATCCCAGGACCCTGGGATCATGACCTGAGCTGAAGGCAGACGCTTAACCATCTGAGCCACCCAGGCACCCCTGCTTTTATTTTTTTTAAGATTTTATTTATTTGGGCGCCTGGGTGGCTCAGTTGGTTAAGTGACTGCCTTCGGCTCAGGTCATGATCCTGGAGTCCCGGGATCGAGTCCCACATCGGGCTCCCTGCTTGGCAGGGAGTCTGCTTCTCCCTCTGACCCTCCCCCCTCTCATGTGCTCTCTCTCAAATAAATAAATAAAACCTTAAAAAAAAAAGATTTTATTTATTTATTTGACAGAGAGGTAGAGAGAGAGCACAAGTAGGCAGAGCGGCAGGCAGAGGGAGAGGGAGAAGTAGTAATTGCTTTTAAACCAGTCTGGCCTGGGATGCCTGGGTGGATCAGTAGGCTAAGTGTTTGCCTTTGGCTCAGGTCATGATCCCAGGGTCCTGGGATGGAGTCCTGCATCAGGCTCCCTGCTCAGCGGGGAACCTGCTTCTCCCTCTCCCGCTGCTCTCTCTCTCTGACAAATAAATAAATAAAATCTTAAAGAAAATAACAACAACAACAATCTGGGCCTACCTCTAGAGCTCTGAATAGAGTCAATCCCACCAAAACCAGTGACAAAAATAGGGGAGGCGCCTTCTCAAAAGATATTTGGTGCGGGCACCTGGGTGGCTCAGTCATTAAGCGTCTGCCTTTGGATTAGGTCATGATCCCAGGTTCCTGGGATCAAGCCCCACATCGGGCTCCCTGCTCAGCGGGAAGCCTGCTTCTCCCTCTCCCACTCCCCCTGCTTGTGTTCCCTCTCTCGCTGTGTCTCTCTCTGTCAAATAAATAAATAAAATCTTAAAAAAAATAAAAATAAAATAGATATTTGGTGAAATATTCCCAGAAGTGGAAGAATGAAGGTTTGGTAGCAAAGGACATTAGGGAAGCAGGGAGGATAGGGACGGCGTTCCAGTAATAGATAAGCAAAGGAAGAGTGAAGTGAACATGATAGAATGTTAAAAAGGGCATGCAGTATATTTTTTATTGTTATAATGCAGGAACATTTTCCATGTAAAGAGCCAAGCTAAACTTTTTTTTCTGATTTTTTTTTTCTTTCTAAAGAGAATATATTTTGCTCTAAGACCAAAAATGTGGTTCAGAGCCACAGTCTCTGGGATCACAATCATCCCTCATCCTTGATGTACCGCAATCAGACTCATCTTGGCACTCCATGGAAATGGTTTCTGACTCCTTTTTTTTTTTTAAGATTTTAAAAAATTTATTTATTTGACAGAGAGATAGCACAAGTAGGCAGAGTGGCAGGCAGAGTGAGGGGGAGAAGGAGGCTCTCTGCTGAGCAGGGAGCCCGATGCAGGGCTCAATCCCAGGACCCTGGGATCATGACCTGAGCTGAAGGCAGACGTTTAACTGACTGAGCCACCCAGGCGCCCCTGGTTTCTGACTCCTAATCAAGGCCTTCCAGAGGTTGAGAGAGGGTCAAGCACTGGAGCCTTAGCCAATGGGGAGCAGGAGCAGAGGATCACCCTCTACAAAGCATTCTTCCCGAGTAGCAGCCTCTGATGAAAGTGGTAGTAGAGGCAGGTGAAAGAAGAGCCCACATGTTCATTGTGTTTACAGCAGTGCTGCGATCAGGAGCCAAATGGCAAAAGGGGCGTTAGACTGGGGGACCTTTTTAAAGCAATGATTTCCTCACCAACTAAGGGTGTGGCTCCGGCCCCTGGCTCAGGCTTGTCTTCAGCCCTGTAACCATCTGATGGTAGAAACTAGCTAACTCTGAGCATGTTTTCATCTGCTGCGGATCTGGGTATAGTAAAAATTAAGGGACCGAAAACAGGTTACAAAAGTTGTGGGATATTTTATATATTTACATTGAACACATAAATGCCTTTTATACCCCATAACACAGATGCCTGTGTTATGGGGTAATGCAACCCCTGCCTTTACTGCGTCCACCCACAACCCCCTTCTCAAAGCTCCCTGGCCTTGACCTCGGTACCTAATGCTACATGTTCTCCTTGTTTTCTCCCCATCTTGGTCTCAATAAATAAACATGTATTGAGGTTCTAGTTATCATGCATCAGGCACTGCGCTCCAGATATCGGTAGTGAACAAGACCAAAATTGGTCCAAGACCTCATGGACCAATTTTCCTCGCCTGGCACTCATCACATTCTCTCATAACACTAAGCTGTTCAAGGGCGGAGGGCAGCTCTGCATCTCACAGGGCTTAGTACAGAGCCTATTATAGATGGTTCATAAATACTGATGAATGGAATTGAAATATTTGTATGCCATTATTAACAGCAGGAACCCTTGTGTAGTGTACTTAGTTTAATTTTGTTTATTTGCTAAAACTCATGAACAAAAGGACTAATGCCTTTTTACATCTTGGTTTAAAGTCACTAAAAAGGGGTGCCTGGGTGGCTCAGCCGTTGAGCATCTGCCTTTGACTCAGGTCATGATCCCAGGGTCCTGGTCCCAGGTCCCAGGGTCCCTGCTCACAGGAAGCCTGCTTTTCCCTCTCACACTCCCCCTGCTTGTGTTCTATCTCTCACTGTCTCTCTCTCTGTCAAATAAATAAATAAAATCTTTAAAAAAATAAATAAGTAAATAAATAAAGTTATTAAAGAAATGAAAATGGGTTAATTTGTGGACCATTCAAAGAATTGTTAGCACTTATCCATTTGACATTGTGTACATTGTATTTGATTTAAAGATAAAATTAAAATTTGGTACTAAAATTGACATAACTACTAAGGGAAATACTATTCATGGTTTTTTGTTTATTTATTTATTTAAGTCATCTCTATACCCAACATGGGGCTTGAACTCATGACCCCAGATGAAGAGTCACAAGCTCTTCTGACTGAGCCAGCTAGGTGC